TCTAAAGATATGTTTTATTAAACCCAATAAATATATAATAGCTAAATGGTAATTTTGACCAAATAGACATTTGTTCTGAGTATACCATCAATCCCTTGCATAATATATATTACTTATATTAAATTACATTTTATAAATTATTATTTAAATTCATCAATGAAGCATTTGAAATTACTTTTTTAAATACTTACTTTATACTTACATTTATTAATATTTCAAAGGCTTTAAATGAAAAATATTAACAATGTGATATGAAAAAAATTACTCTTCCTTTTGGCTGTCTAAATTGCTTTCATGTAGAAATCTTTTGTGTATTTTTGACTGTTACAAAATTGTTGCAACCATTTGCCTTCTTTTAATCACTCATTATGCATGTTGTAGTTTTGCTGCCCATATGAGTGTTTTGCTTTCTAATAAAGATTATTTTATTTAGACTGTATAACCATCCAAATATTAAGTCTATAGTCATGCTTGAATTAGCCAGCCTTAAATGTTTATATCTACATACATTCCTTTATATATATATATATATATATATATATATATATATATATATATATATACTACATTTTTTTCATTTATTTGTGCTCTTATTCCTACTTGAAAATAGAAAATTCACTAATGAAAACTTTGCGATTATAAACTTTATATATGGATGAATTCAGTCTGAAAAATTTATTTTTTCTAAAATGCCTGATATTTTAAATATATTTTGTTTATTTTCAAAAACATGATAATGACAGTTGTTAAAGAGACTTATATAAAGTTTTTAAAATTTGGTATATATTTTTTTGATTTTATTTGTGCATTGAATATAATCATTTTTCACATTCTATCTGTAATCCTGTTTAAAATCTGTTTTATTTTTACTTATATAAATACTTACTTACTATTTATTTTCTATGAATTTTAACAGTTATTGCCAGTTAAGAAAAATATCACGCTACTATGATTTAAACAAATTTGTTTTGCATTTCTTTGATAAAAATGTATTAATGAGTGTACCAAAAGATGCAAATATAGATTTCCAAGTTTATGATATTAGTTTACATTTGTTCAAAACTGGATATTACCCATCTTCAGAATGGGTACAGTTCATGAGAAGAATTCAGATAGCATTAAGTCCTTTAAAAGTAAAGATCATAAGTATATTCTTATGTTAGTGCCTCTACCATTATATTTTATTTTTATTTACATAAAATATATTATTAATACCAAACAATATAAAAGTAGATAATCAAAATTTGATTAATAGTTTAACTGTTTGGTTTTGTTAATATTTCACTATTTATTCATATGAACTTTAGAAGTATTATTATTAGTATAATTATTATTATTATTATTAGATATACTATTATTTGCTAATAAATACTGATTATCTATGCCTTTCAGAAATGCTTTTATTATTTACACTTTGAAATTGTCTGATTGACAAGATTTTATTTATAAATATATAACCATTATACCTATGTAGGCATGCAGTCAGTCAATGATGCAGGCTAATTGCCAAAGCAGAGAGTGGGGCAGTGCTCCCCCTCCTATTCGTGGGTAAATTACCCTCCGCTATCCGTGAATGTGATATGAACTAATTTTAATGTGAGAAAATGCAATTCTACCAACAGGCCACACTTTGGGCTTCATACCTCTCTCCACTGGATTAGATGTTCACCCATTAGTAATACCCTGATGATGAGCCTACCATGATGACCATTATTGGTTATGAGGGAAATCTGAGAAAATAATATTGAAATATTTAATATTGAATAATATTGAAATATTTAAAATTTATTTGTAAATCAGTTCAATTCTTTGTTTATTTTTGGAAAATTCATTGATTACTTTACTCTGAAATGTATCAGCACCATGCCCTACTTTCATCTTCTTCAAAAGGTCTTTATTCATGTAAATGAAGACCAAATTACCCAATTTCTTTTTATTTATAATTATTTACTTACTTTAATGAAGAAAATGATCTGTTGCAGGAAGTAGATGTGGTATGGTATGGTCAGAATCAGATGTAGTAATTTTGTTACTTCTGCCAGATCTTGGATTACTTTAAGTTCTCATATTATACTAGCAACTTATTGAATGCTTGACACTTGCTTTGCAAAATCTGAAGCATAATCTGAGCTCACATTTCAATCCATCCAAATTCAATATGTTTTTATAGACATCCAAAGATAAAAATGCTTCCATTGGAAATGTTTTTCATAAGCCTGAAAAGGCTTTAGATCTGAACTCTCCCATTGTTTTAAATCTTTACTTAATGTGAACAATATCCTCTTCCAAAATGCTGTTAAACAATTAAAATAGCTTCTGATTCTTGATGTTGGCCATGCTTCTTTGGTGGTTCAGTGACATCATCTGGAAACCAGCAATAAAATTCTTTAAGCTTGTTGTTCTTGATATCAACCAATTGTTTTTTTAAGCAAGAATCAAAAACAGAATTGCAATATGGTTTCAAAAACCACTAATAAAAATTAAATTGAAAATCTTCTGAAAATGCAATGAATCCCCTTGCCTGGGATAATTCTGAAGCACTCCAATCATTTGGATTTTTTTACATGATTGAAAATAGTTCAGAAAACAGTAATTTTGGGGGGACAAAATGAATACTCATCAAGATGAATAATTCCAATAAGTCTCAATTAACTTGGGAAATCACCTTCAAACAATTTCATTCAGTAGTACTATTTGAGCTGTCAACTTTGAGAAAAAAATTGAAATTCTTTTTGAAGTTTGGAAGAAGCTTTAGCATTTATGAATACTTAAAGTTGATCGAGACAGTACCAAATTAAGTGTATGTAAATAACAATGTACAAATATGACATTTGCACCAAAAATCTCCATTCAAATATTCAGCCATCATGCTTGCCCCATCATAAGTTTGTGTGATGAATAAGTTTGGCTACATCTGAATTCATTAACAAATTTTCAAATTTCTTCTGTCACCAATGGAGCTCTTCTATTTTTATTGACATCGATATATCCCAAAAGTCTTTCTTGAGATTTTTCCTTCTCATCAACAAATCGCAAAACATGTGACAATTGAAATTTCATTTGAAGTTTCATAGTCTCATCAAACATAACAGCAACAAATGATATTTTGGCGATCATTGCCTTAATTTCGCCTTCAATTGTAGCAGTTATCCAATAAACAATCTTGTTTTGAATATCGCTCGAAAGTCCAGAAAATGCACAGTTAACATTTTTCTTCATGAAATTTAAACACAATCTTAAACAATCATCATATTTCAGCACTGTTTCACATACAGTCAATGACAAAATTATTCGTACAACCATCAATTTTCAATATTTTTATCTATATCTAATGCCTGTATGATGCCAGGTTTTTTATATGTTAATAAGCTCAAAAATAGGAATATTAAATACAACAAATTTGACAGGAAAATTATGAAAAATATGAAAAAGACAAAATTATTTGTACAGTATGAAAAATAGAAAAAATTGAACAAATTTTCATGATATTAATAATCAATAACATGGCCACTCATTTTTATAACTTGCTGCAAGCATTTTCTAAAAATTTTCATTAGATTTGAACAAGTCTTTTCTGGGATTTTCTTCCATTTTTCAATGGTTACATGTTCTAATTGAAGTTTTTTGGTGACCAACAATTTATTCAAACTTTCAATTCTTGCCAAAAGATTTTCAATAGGATTCAAGTCAGGATCCATTGAAGACCATGGCAGAACTGTAATCCTCTTTTTCTGAAGCCATGCAGTCACTGATTTAGATGTATGTTTTAAATCATTATCTTGCTGGAACATAAATCACTGACCTAGATGAAGATTTTGCACTGATAGTTGTAGATTTTCACCCAAAATTTTTATATTGTCTGCAGATTTCATTATTCCTTTTATTGCAATTAATTGTCCAGTCTCCCTTGAGCTACAACAACCTCAAAACATCATCGAGTCGCTTCCATGTTTTAATGTTACCACTTTGAGAGGAAAGCCTCACCTTTCTTACACCAAACTTTCTGTACAGCATTATGTCCAAAAAGCTCAATTTTTGTTTCATCACTCCACAGTACTTGTTCCCAAAAGTAATTTTCTTTGTCCAAGAATATTTTGGAAAAATTAAACCTGAGAAACAATGTGACATGATTTGTGAAGAGGGGTAAGTCATGGTCAGTTTCAATACAACCCATTTTAACCATTGGGGTTATTTTTTATATTCCTTTTCTTTTTCTGTTTTTTTGTGTTTATTAACATATAAAAAAAACTAGCATTATACAAGCATTACATTCTGAGAAATGGATAAAAATACTCAAAAATTGATGGATGTATGAATAATTTTGTCATTGACTGTATAGCCAAAAAATTACTCTTATTGTTTGATTCTTCTCTTTTTTGTGTCCTTGAAATGGTGATTCTTGACAGGCCAAAATTTCATTACAATGAATTAACCTTTTCAACTGATTAAAATTTTTCTCAACTGATCTATTATGCAACTGAATTGAAGCTTCTTTCTAGTGATCAAGTACCAATTCATTGTCAGCCAAAGGTTTTCAGAGCCATTACATAATTCAGATGGTTATGAAATTTTTTGAGTCTTTTTAAAGCTACAATCACATTATTCAAATCATAGTAGCCAATAGTTGGCCATGTATTCTTATGTTGACAAAATAACAGACCTGAGAAACAAGGCAAATTGTTCACAAAAAATAAACTTTGCTGGTTGCTCTTTTTTGCTCCAAGTGTGAACTGGTCCAGAAGAAAATTCTGATCACATGACTGAATCCAGGTATTAAGAAGGGATCAAGAATACTGTCCAAAGGTTAAATCTTTTAGAATGCAGTAACTTTTGATGTGACATTATGGTCACCAGATGTTCTGTATATACTCTTCATTACTGGATAAATGTACAAAAAAAACAGATGCAGTAATAAAACCAATTTGCAAATTGACTAAATACTCATTTCTTGTTTAAATCTCTTCAACTCTATAAGAAAAGTCCTTTGAATAGGCAAGTCAATGATCTTAGCTGCATGGGACAATAAAAACATTAGTGCTTCAGAAGAAAGTATGTTGAGAGCTGGAAGGCAAGCAGCAAAACTTCTGCTTTTCTCTGCCCTTCTCTCTTTGATCTCACACTCTTTTGTTTTTTCTTTCATGCTCTTGGCTCATGGAATAGAACAAGGAAAGAAATTAATTCACTGCTTTTTCTTCTTTTCTTGCAAAGCAAACAGAAGTTGGCTTAATACAACTGGAAGAAAAACAGAAAAAATTCTGCTTTTCTTTGCTTTCTTCTCTTTGACCCCCCACTGTTTTGTATATACTTTCATGCTCCTTTGATGAAAGGGAATATAACAAGAAAACAATTAATTCACTACTTTTTCTTCTTTTCTCACCAAGCAAACAGGAGCTTTCTCTATTTGCACTTCTTAAATAATATCACTTGTTTACAATTTATTCAAAGGAATGGGAAATACAAAACTATCACAATTACAATGAGGACAATGAAAAATTATCAATAATTAATTTTATATTACACAAAAATTATTTATCCCGGAGAAAAGTAAGATATGCAGTGCATGTATTGCATACATACTCTTTATTGCCTGAATAGTATATGTTAGTTTATACAATCATGTACACAAACAAGTTTATGACTGCTTACATATTCTCTACACTGACTTAAGTACATCTTCATAGAAATATATTATATATACACACAAAAATATTTTGTGTACATATATCCACAAACTTTATTGAAAGATGAATATGTGAATTTATTCCTGTTTCCTTATTCTAAATTTTACATACTGGGAACATATCTGTAATATCTTTCATCTGTGCATACACCTATGTAAATTTATATAAATATATAAAAGTCTATATAATGTATGTATGTATTCACAAATGTACAATGTTTATTACAGATTTCTACTAAAAATTGTTTTTCTTGGTCTACAAGACTGAGTTGTTCTCTTCTCTTCATAACATTCTTTTATTCGCTCAATTTCATATTTCATTTTTATATTTATTACTATTTTTAGTCTAATTCTTAAATACAAAGCAAATTAAAATTGCAAATATCTTTTTTTTTTCTCTTAACTATTATCTGTAATTCACTTATAAAAGATAAATAAAAGGTTTTTGGTATAATTCACTTTCTTTTGAATATAGATATATAAACAAGTGTGCAATGAATTGCACACCAGTATATAGCTTGCTGATAAGGTAATGTAAAAATTACCTATTGTAAAACTTTGTCAACCTAATACAAATAAGCAGTTATGTTAATTGTTGATATCATCATTATCATGCAAATAGATAGCCTGCTGCTACTATTAGCACAATGAAATGGGCATAGATTCCAAACACTTATTTGTTGTTGATTTAATCACTTTATTATTGTTGCTTCTGTCATTGTGAGAATATCATATTGTATTAGAAAAACTTTGCAACAGCTACCAGATTTTTCTGTATATAACGTGTTCATTAACCCCCCCCACACACACACACACACAAATGAACCTGTTGTAAAATGTTTGCCTTGCATATCATTGATAGTTAATTGATCTCCTCTGGATGTTCTATAAAAAGGTGAAGGACAGTACTGAAGTTTTGCAGTGGGGATATGTCTTGAAAATCAAGGTGGTAGAGGATGCCCATCTGCAATTGATAATCAATATCTGAAAGCACTAGTTGAATAAAACCCACATATCAGAGAAATGCCTCAAATAATGTGTGCCAGCATTTCAACAACATTAGACCATCTCAAGAAAATTAGCAAGGTGAAGAACCTCGATAAATAGGTTCCACATGAACTCAGTGAAAGTCAAAGAGTTTGACATTTTGAAGTATATTTGATGCTGTATCTGCAAAATTCAAATGATCCATTTCTTGAATGAATAGTGACTTGTGATGAGAAATGGATCTTTTATTACATTCATAAACTATCGACTCAATGGCTTGATCATGACAAAGCACCCAAACACTTTCCAAAACTGAAATTGCACTAACAGAAAGTTATAGACTGTCTAGCAGTCTGCCATTGGTGTTATCCATTACGTTCCAGAATCTAGACAGAGAATCATTTTTGGAGTTTAATGCCAGAAACTGGACAAAATGCACATTCAGTTAAGCAAAATGCAACCAGCACTGGTTTGTTGACAAGGTCCAATTCTACTTCATGACAATGCTTGGCCACATGTTGCCAGGATGACACTGCAGAAGATCACCAACTTGGGGTTGCTGTATCCATCATATTGCCCTAATCTGTCACACTGGCTACCACATTTTCAAGCATCTATTTAATTCTTGAAGCCAAAAGACATTCTATTACAAAGATGCAGAGACTGCATTCAAAGAATTCTGGGCATCCAAATGTTTAGTTTTATCAATCAGGCATAAATAACCTTTTAAATCAATGGCAGACACATATAGATCTTCAGGGTTCCTATTTTGACTGATACAGAATTATCATAATACATTAATTCAGGAATAAAAATTGATTCGAAACTTGAACATTATTTTCCAAACAACCTATATATATATATATATATACATTTGCTTATATATATATATATATATATATATATATATATATATATATATAATTAGAGAGAGAAGGTACTCTTGATCTATCGGTTTGACTAAGCTTTACTTACCTGCAATGTGCCATAACCACAGATGTCAAGCAAAGTAAGTTGACAACCTACTAGCAATCTCAAATCAATCCTTCAATAGACAATACAAACATGTCTCTTAGATCATTAAGAACTTTTTTAGTACTGTGCTATCACATGTCAGGCTGTTGTGTTTTTTTTCAACTATCACATCTTTACATGTCAGATCTTGGTGTCTTTTTTGTTTTAGTTATAAAATATATTCAGTATGTTTGTCCTTAACCTCAAACTAGAAGAAAAATTATAAGAAACCTAATATATAGATACATATCACTTTTCTACAGAAACAATTTCTTACAATACAAAACCTCTTAACATTATAACTGCTAACAGTACAATAATAAAATGAAAGCTTCAACAAGCATATCTGCAAATTCACTTTCTCATTTTGAGAATGTCTTTCTAATGATAATAAAAATTGCAATACCTTCAATAATTACACAATCTGTACATTATATTGTTGATTAACTTGCCATTTAAACTCACTCCAATGAAGTCCTAACATATAAAACACATCATATGAAAATTTTTCCACTACAGAAAAGATAATTAGTTAAGAGGAGGATCATCTTTCATCAGGATAATACTTGACTAAGTAAAATAAGATACAGATTGGCTGGGAAACTTTTGCTCATTGGCTGCCTTTGCCAGATATTATGCCTTTGAATTATCATTTGTTCTAGTTTTTACAGAATTATCATAATGAAAAAAATTCCATCTCCTGGAAGACACCAAAAGGCACTTAGAGAAGTTCTTTACTTAGACAGGTATTCTGGGAAGATGGAATCATGAAGTTGTTTGAAAGATAACAGAAGATAGTGGAACAAAACTATAAATATGTTCAATAAAGTTAATATAAAAAATAAAACAATTTCCATTAGTTTTTAATAAACTGACCAACATTTTGGCTTCTTTATACAAAAATGATATTTGCATCAAAGCAAATAACTTTGAATGTATATAGAGGTATTTTCAGAGATTTATCAGACAGTTCAGTGTTTTTTTTAGAGTTTTTACAACTCGGCACCATTGTCTCCTTTCAAGGTCATCTTGAGGTTATCTTCTATTTCGAGGCCTATCTTTGTACCATGATTACTGTCCCTAACTTAAGAAATCTTCTAACTTAGTTTCGAAACCAAATATGATCTTCATCTAATGATATTATTATTAAAGATTATTTATAAGTCATTCTAAGTGTAGTACCCTTAAGTATAATGTTTTGAGCTGTAAATTAAAATTATTTAAAGCTTTTGGTACAAGGATTAAATGGTTGAATTTAATACTTTCTCTTTATATGTTCTAACCCTTGATCCAAATATACTTGCTTAATATTGAATTCAAAAATAGTTTAAAAAATTGTTCCAATATTGTGTAGTTCACTAGTTCCTATCCCATGATCCTCTGCTTCAAGTAAGCTATTTCCCTGCTACACAGATCAGTACAAAATAAAACTGAGCAAATAAGGCTCTTTTGGAAAATCCCAAGTATATTAATACTCTCTCTTTCTCAATCATTGAGTTTCTTATACTTGGGTAACATGCATGGAATGTGCTTGCAAGTTGTACACTTGCACACTACTGTTCATAGGTATTCATTCTTCTGCTAAATTAGCATCATTACACACTGATCAATAGTCAATAAAATAGTCTGTATGTGTACATGTATGTGTGCAGGGCAAAAGCACTGTTGCTGCTACTACTGAGGCTGCTGCCTCTTTACGACAATGTCCTATCACCATCACATGTATAAGGATGGTTAGCTCTTGGATTTGTTCCTGCTGCAGTGGAAAATTGCACCTTCTCCATCTTTGTCATTCTTGCAGTTTCAGTTGAAGCTGCAACAGTTTCTAATGATGATCATGATGATTGTAACTGAAGTAGAAGTAGTAATATATTTTTGCCAATTTGGTATCATGGATATTACAAACATATCAACATACTGGCTATATCAAGCATAGGATACAGAATGTTTGTCCAAGACAGACAACTAAACTCTCAACACCTATAAATATGACTAGGCTTTTAACTCTTTGATAGCACTATTTTAAAATGCTAATGATAACTGCAAGTGTAATTTAGTAGTATTTGTAATAGTCCTCAGTAGTGGTAATAATTTGAATATGTTTATAAACAAATAAGTATATTTATATTAATAGTAGTAAAAATAGAAATGATAGTTGTGGGACTATTGTTATAACAGCTGTAAATAATATCTGTGTTTATAGCAATATTATTTGTATTGATAAAGTAAAGTAAATACTTGGTAAATCATACTAATTGTATAAAAAGGTGGGAATAATAGTAACTTTAATTTTTAGAAAAGTCATTATAATATCAGACTTTATTACTTTCAGTAGTATTAGTTCCTCACATACTAACATAACTAGTTCAAGAAGGGGGTTTATTAATTTGAAAGATTTATAGATATAAGTATAGAGTTTGCAACAATTGTAACCCTTACAAACAATGGGAAAATGTTACATATTTTTTATTTTTTCATTCATATTGTTATTTTTTATTGAAAATTTTGTTTATATCTGCAAAAGTTTACAACTTAAAATAGTGTATATCAAGAGCTTATTATTATTATATTACAATATAAACACTATGTATTAGTTAAATATATTATTAACAACAA